AAATGTTTAATAGGCTACTAATATATCTCCATATACTTCAAATTGGTAAATGTTTGATATTTATATAATCACACAGAGAAATAATTACTACAAATTATGGTCAATAAGGAGAAGCATTTTTTTTTATTAAATTCTATTATAATGTTAGTGATAATAATATTATATGCAAGTTGTTACTACTATTTTTGTGTTAAAAGAACCAAAAAATATGTTTGGAAGAACCGAAAAAAACTATAATTTTAATTAGATTAACCATTTTTTCTCTCAGCATAACGTTTTCTCTTGAAATGGAATATTTTTAGATATAGGCTTCTAGCTTGATGCTTCAAAATTATAATTTTGTATTTGAAGCATATCTTAGTCTATAGCTACTTACAGATAAAAATGAAAATGAAAAAATTCACGCGTTTATTTAAAGGTTAACCAAAGGGGTTGGTTCATTAATTCAACCAAACTTTTTTCTCTATGTAGACGGATATCGCACAGAAATCGGTGATCGATGAGATGCAGGGTGCTTGTAATATCGCGCACGCGTCTGTACCGTTTACACGTCTTAACTGTATCGAAAACTTCGCCTCAATTGACGTAAAAAAATTATAGAATGCATTTCGACGTTTCGCTGAGATTCAAGTTCGACAAATTTGAATCAACGAGGAATGAAAACTGATCACTTTAGAAGATGCCACATCCCAGATGGACAATGTATGTATGTAGATTTGATAGCGACTTTATTAGTCGATTTGTAAAGGTTGCCTTATAAGTGTTCATACTTATACACTCATGTACGGAGAAAGAATTTTATAGCAAAAATTATCATAGAATTTTGTAAGCAAGGAATAGATAATATTCTGCAGTCAATTGACAATTTTGTCTCTCAATTCACATATGTGCTACTTATATATTTTAGGAACTAAAATGTGTTATTAGAAAATTTACTGTGTTTCCAGTAAAATTTACTGTGTTTTTTAGCAAAACAAACTTCACTAACAGTCTATTCCTGCACTACTAAAAACATATAATAAAATTAAAAAGAATTTATACGAGAAGATAAACTTTAATATCCTCTCCGCATATTTATTACATAGAATGGCGAAATAAAAATACAAAAGTAACACGCGCGCGAAAAGAATGATCAAATTTTGTTCGAAAACAATAAATCATAAAACGTAATATAAAAATCTGAATTAAAAATTCACTTTTAGCAAATTTATTTCTACGTCAATATAGCAAGAAATTTACATTAGTATGTAGCGTAAATTTAATTTTAATGTTTAATTCAACACATTATATATTTGCTCCATGCGAATGCGATTTACAAAATTCCAAAGTTTTCATCATCAATTGTCTCACGTCGTGATAATCATGAGAGTCTATCTGGGGTCATGTTTCTTCTTCTTGTTATTAGCCAAGGGCAGATCCCAAAGGCCATACGATCCCGTTTCAAAGCGTCTCGCGTGCAATACGCGATTAATAGAGGCATTCGTCAGTCAGGAAGCTCACTGTGTGTGTGTGTGTGTGTCGACTTCCTGGTCGCGATCGTACCTGTCGGAGTTAACGATACACGTCGCGTCGTCCTACGTCAATAAACGTATTTCACGAGCCGTGTAAACGTGTACCAAGTTTGATAAAAATACCCATCAGCGGGAAACAGGAAGCGGAAGAGATTCACTGGTCGTAAAACGTCGGCTCGTATCCTCCGCGTCGCGTCCGGTAGCCCTTGTAGCGCGACCGTCGAGATCTTCATCCCTTAAATGGGCCGGAGCCGTTACCCGACAGCGAGAGAGTATGAGGTAGAGAAAGAGACAGACAGACAGAGCAAGAGAGAGAGAGAGAGAGAGAGCAACAATATTTGCAGCGCCGACAGCAAGCGGGAGAGCTCGTCGACGTTCTCGCGACGGAAGTAAATAAACGAATCGATTATACGGAGACAAATAAGCGGGTGGTTGTCGGACGCGGAGGGCGACGATGCGGGAATGGTGGAGGACGATTCGGTTGCCAAAGGCAGAAAGAGAGAGAGAGGGAGGAGGGAGGGAGGAGGTGAGCAGGCCTGGTTCTGGGAATGATTGTCGAGGAAAAAAATAGCGGAAGTCCTCGACGGGCAATAATAGGAAGCAACGCGACAATTGGAAAGTAATTAAAATCCCATCAAGACCCACTCCGACTCCTGTTAACAGTTCCGCGTTACTGCGAACCGATAGAATTAGCTTTTCGATTTTCATTATTTAGAGGAGCTCAGACACGCCACGCTCAGCTGAATCCTGTCGCGTCGCGCGACGTCCTGTCCTCCTCCTCCTCCTCCTTCGGCCATTCGAGCGAGGCAACACGAATCCTTTCCACGCGAATGGAAATGAAATAACGGAGAGGTCGGACGAGAGAAGAAGATAATTTATATAATGCACCGCGATCGAATATCCCGCGAACGCTGACGTAGTTGTATAGTTAATAATCTGAGATATTAGGAAACGAACGATCGGAAACGATCGGAAACGGAGCTGAGGGAGGGGAGGTAAAAGAAGCGCTCGTTTATGAAGACGTGAACGTTTTTTCCGGGTTCTGCCTCGGATAAAATATTAGTCGCATCGACGTCACATTGATTGATTGCAATAGCACAGAAGATTGTAAAGAAGCTTTACAATTTCCACATCGAGAGAGAAAATACATAAAGAACAAAAAATATTTATTCGGTGGACACTGCTAACATATTTACTTAACTAATACTAAATTCTTTCATTTAAACAGAATAAATAAATGGGAGGCAAACGGCCAATAAGAGTCAATAGCCGATATATGGACGATAACATAAATTTATTTAAAAAATACAATCGAAATCGGCAAAATAACCCAAAACAGAATAAACAGCCGCTTACATAAAAATCTATGGATCTAAGAAAGTGTATATTTTCTCATGTGAAAAGAATTACTTTTCAATGTAAAAATATTAATATAGTATGTTAGTACAAATAATATGTTATTAGTATTCATCGAATGAATTTTTTTTACTTTTTAAATATTTTCTGTGAGTATATTTTGTCTTTTCCTCAAAAAAGAGAAAAATGTTTGAATGAAATTTAGAAAATGATGAATTGTAAAAGAGTTTAACCTATTTTTCTTTTTCTCAAAGGAAAGAAGATATCTCCTAAATTAAATTTAAGAGTTAAATAATTGTAAAAATCTATTTTCCATATTTCCCAAAAAAGAGAAAATTGCTCGAATTAAATTTAAAAGATTGTGTGCATACGCGTGTGAGCTTGACATGAGGAATAATATTTTTTTGAAGAAAATTATATTTGCAGAAATATAAGAAAGAAAAGAAGGAATAGAAAGAAAGAATCAGGGAGGTTTTCTTTTTCTCTCAAAAGAGAAAAAATTGTCCGAATTAAATTTAAATGATGAAGGATTATAAAAGATTATCCATTTGTCTTTTTCTCCAAAAAAAAAAAAACATTTCCGAATTAAATTTAAAAGATAATGGGTTTTTAAAGAGCTTTATCTATACTTTTTTTCTCCTGAAACAAGAGAAGAATTAAATTTTAAAAAAGGATTGTGCATATATATCTTGACACGAGGAATAATTTTTCGCAAAAAAAATTATTCACAGAGATATAGAAAGAGAAGGAAACAAAGAAAGAGAAAGAGAGAAAAGGAAGAATACGAAGCGGCGGGTAGAGAGATTAGGGAAGAGCTGGCGGAATGGCTTTCAATAGCTCAAGTTTTTGTCGAAATCCTTGGATGTAGCTTTCAGGATCGCAACTTAAATCACTACGGCAGCTCGCCGGGCGATTCCAATGACTTTTACTCGTTCCGCTGAGATTTTTCGGGGGCGGGAAACGAAATCGTGAATCGAAACGATAATTCTTCCCTTCTCAGCTGAAAGTTCCGGGGATGTTATCCTCGGAAAGCCTGTTTGAAGGATTCCTACGCAACTTTCGTGCCGAGCTTAGCGCTCTACATCATATCTGAGCCCATCTCATACTACACAACGGGCATAATACAGCAAGCATAATACGTAATATATAATAATCCGATATGCAACACGTAAAAAAATACGGAATACACATGCGCGAGATGTGAATCAATTAATTCCCCAAAGAGATAATTACACGTTAAACGCGAGAATTAATAAGCTAATTCAATGCGGGCTACTTTGTTCCGTTTGCTTTTTTGTACATGGATATTTTATATTAAAAACCTGTAATTTTGCAACGTTAAAACGTCTGCTCCAGCATACTTTCGTTAATCCCGGAAAGCGAAATGGATGAACCAATTATTCCTACGAATATCTCTCTAGAAAACTTTATTTCAAAATTAATTAACAGAAATCCAACCACAGAGAGAGTGAGAGAGAGAGGGGAGGGGAGAATAAGGGAGAGAGAGAGAGACTTTCTCTGTCACTGTGATCACGTGCATAAGTGTCGCCATCGTTATAACTTTTAATGAGGGAAAATTAATAATATTATAATAGAACTTCAGCGCGGTACAATAGTGAGAAAATGTGAATCCTGTTCGGCTAATAACGTTACCCGTCGTGCGCGTATTACATTATGCATGATCGAAAACGATTTCCGCACGCGAGCGTAGTGGCTGATTAAAATCGGGTCGGGGATGAAATTAAAATCGGGGCTCGTGACCGACTTTTTAACCGGTTATGTACTTTTTAACCGTTGTACTCCGCTTCGTAATTACCAATGTAATGCCTCATAATGCCGATATATGACGGCGCACTTCCGCGCGCGCCGCGGAAATTTCTTAATTTAATTTCTCCCTCTCGATATGCGCAATTTCCGCACTGATAGGAATCGCGTAACGCGGCCGTAATGCTGCCGTTCGCTGCTGATGGCCGCGTGAGCGTGTTTCAATGAGAAATTGTTCACTCGCGGCGTTCCCCAAACGAACAAAAGTCGTTTCATCTCGGTCGCGAGCCCCGATCGAGCCCCGATCGAGCCCCGAGGACTCGCGCGAACGGAGGTTAATGGGAAACCGGAATTCACGGACATTTTCAGACGACCCTATGGTCAACACGGACTTCCCCGTTAAGAGATATACAGCTGTACAGTACACGCAACCAGCGGCCGCCATGTCGCCGTTGTCCAAGTCCACGCGTCATCTCCTGGTGCCGGAGCCGGACCCACGTTATTATTACACCCATCGAGCTCATCAAGAGACCATCACCATCGACCGAGATAACTTGAAACACGGTAAAAGAAAACAAAAGCCTCCCCTTCTGAACTCTTCATGGAACGGTCGTTCCGTCGAAGAACGGACGGACAGCGCCGTGAGAGACTCGACGAATATTTTCGTGCGCGCTTTCGCGAAAAGAAGCGCCGCTGATCACACGGGCTATTGTTAACTCATAAACGGCCAATATCTTCCATCTCTTGGACGCTTCTTTTCTTATTAAATAAAGCCAATCGGTTAATATCTGCCCACACAATCCGCTCAAAGCATGTCTTAAAGAGTCCAAAAGACGTTTGAATAAAGTAGAAAGTCGTCTCTTGGATGCTTTCAAAACGTCTTTGAAATGCGTGTTGTGTGAGTAATTCTGTTCTTACGTTTTCGACTTCTAATTACCACACGGAGAAAACAATTAACCTGACAATAAATATACCAAACGCGTTTTCCTTTCACAGAGAGAGAAGTACTTTGGAAATTTATTTGTGGGATATATATAAAATTTATTCACAGAAATAAATTTTATATTTTCCACAAATAAATTTAACTACTTTTTCTCTCTCTGTGTGTGAAGGAGACAGAATCTGATATTTTTATGGAGCAAATTCGATTTTAAAAACTGAAAATAATAATAATAATACTGTATTAAACAGTTTCAATAATAATAGTTTTTCTCAACAAAGTAACAATATTATTTTACGATATTATTTTATTCCTTCAATAAAAACGCGTTTAATTCTTTCATATTGTCAGGTGAATACAAATCAAACTTCTTTCTCTGTGTAATTATGTTTTTGTTTTTGATAAAAATGTAGTTACTGTAAAATGTAGTTAATAGCCAACGAAAATTTAGGAAGTTATTCCGGTATTAATCTAAGACTCTGAAAGACAAACAGACTGATCCTTTGATTGAAAATTTGGTAAAATAGTTATAGTCTTTAATAGGTTTAATTTCTACAAGATCAGAGAAAAAGAAGCTCGCGCTGATGCACGTTGACTCTAAGTCGAGAAGAAATCGGCAAAGTTTCAAAACGCGCGGTTACAACCCGATCGTTAATGTATCACAGGAAAATTATTAATTAACTGTAAATTTGTAATGCAATTGACATGTACCACTTTATTAACTATTATCGATTTACTGTTAATTCGGATTAACACGATCGGAACATTAATGCTTCGTGGAGTCGCTTGTAACGCTTGAAATGTGGCATAACAACAATAGTAATAATACTTGACGACACGCACATATATACGCGCGTTGCGAAGAATTAATTTTATCTATCCGGATAGACATAGATTTGGCAGTAATTTTATACTTGTCGATTTGTTGCATATCTTATAAATAGTCTTATAAATATGATACTCATATTTATCATATAAAAATAGAAATAGAAATACAACAGAAATACGCAAAAAATTATCAAAATTTGCTGAAAATATGTCATATAATTTAAAAACCCAAGTCATTTTTAGTAAATTGTCGCTGCATTGATATAACAAAAAATACATATTATTGTATGATATAAACTTAATTATTGATTCAATACAGAGTATATTTACTTCGTAAATATTTTAAAAAATTCCGAATTTTTCATTAGCGACTGTCCAAGTCATGATAATTATGAAAATCTATTTAGGCAGCACAGATAAGTATATATAAATTTGATAGCAACTTTATTAGTCGATTTGTAAAGATTACGTCCCTTATGAGTGGCTCACGTGGTATTTATATTTATTACAGAGAAATAAAAAGAAATATATGACAAAAGTACGCAAAAAAGTTATCAAAATTTGTTTAAAAAAATTTCATGTAAAATGTAATATAAAAATCCGCGTATAACTTTTAGTAAATTTATTGTCATATCAATGCAACAAAAAATTTTCATGATGTAAACTTAATGATTGATTTAATACAGTATATTTATTTCCATAAATATAATAGAAGAAAATCCTCTGAACTTTCCGTTATCATGATAATCGTAAAAATCTATCTGAAGAGTCGCATTTCTTCCGGGTGACTCCAAATCGAATCGTTATACGCGAATGACTCGAGACCAGTCACGCGCTCGATTCTACCCGACGATTCGCTAAAGGTAAACGATAGCTTTCCGACGGGGTCGCGTCAAAACAACGTCTGTTTTTTCAGGCTGCCTCGGTAAACGCTTCGCTTTCTCCGCGCCGTCGTCGTCGACCGCGAGATCTTTGATATAACTCGGTTTTTCCTTCGTTCAACGAAAACACGACGGCAGTGCGGGAGCATTCGATCTCAACTTTCTAAATATCTGACAACTTGAAAATGAAATTATCGTCGAAATAAAATCTAAGAGGGAACGGGGAGGAGCGGAGGAGAGGAGTGTTTTATCGCCCGCTGACTCGCGCTCTTAATGTCTCGCGAGAACTTTCTAAATCCTCTTGGGGTCGAGTAAATCGCGCACAACCGAGCGTTCTGTCGCGCCGAATCGCGGTTAATTTTTCAAGACGTTGGCTCACGAGAAGTCTAAGTGATTTCCGCAACAAAACCGCATTGTTTTTTCACCGCTCGCTGCGGCGGAGATGACGAAGACATTGACTTTCGCAGGGGTGGCCGCGGTGTATCGACCGACTCCGGCGACAATTCGTGTGGTCACCGCTTTGCTGGGTGACCTTTGCACCGACGACAAGGATTGCACGATACCTAACAGCGAGTGCTCCAATGGCGGCTGCATCTGTTCCGAGGGCTATGCGGAGACCAGCGATCGACAGGAGTGTTTCGGTGAGACAAAGCTCGAGAGAGTAGAAATTTCTAACTATATACAGGATGTCCGATAACTCACAAAGGAGCCGAGTACAGATAGATTAGAGGTCCAACTGAACAAAATATTCCTCTACCATTTTGCGAACAACCATGTAAAATTTTAAGTTATTAATAAAAGAAGATTCATGAATGATCACGCGCCATATGGTAGATGAGCTGTGCAACGTCTGTGGCTTTGAGAAAAAGAAGTTATTATATACTATTGTGCGTGATAATGCACCAATCTCTTTTAATTAATAACTAAACATTTTCGTGATTATTTGGAAAATGATAGAGGACTTTTTTGTCCAGTTTGACCTAATATATGAGCATACAGTGGCAAATGTCGCCATCACAGTTCATCTATCGTATGGTGTATAATCATCCACGAATATTCTTGGATTAATAACTTAAAATTTTACGTGGTTGTTTGCAAAATGATAAAAGAATTTTTTAATCTAATCTACCTGTATACTGCGGCTCTTCCGTGAGTTACTGGACATCCATATAAGCAAGGCTTTCAGAAGTACTACTACATGATAAAATGCAGACAAATATAATTATATATATATATATATATATATATATATATATATATATA